CTGAGCCTCATTTCCAGCCCTTTTTGTATTTTATTTAGAGGATCTCATTGAATTGCTTAGGGCTTCACCAAGTTGCTGAGGCTGGCTTTGAACTCAAGATCCTCATGCCTCAGCCTCCCAAGCCACTGGGATTATAAGCATGTACTACCATGCCTTGGCAGTATTTTTATTGCTTATCAGGAGAAGTAGTAAGATTTGTTTATTTTAATTAGCTAGGAATACTGGGGATTGATCCAAGGGCCTCACACATGCTTGACAAGCACTCTACGACTGAAATACATACACTTTTAAAAATTCTTTCAAATTTTTTAAGATGGGATTGCACCAAGTTGCTTAGGCTAGCCTTAAATTTTGATCTTTATACCTCAGCCTCCCAAATAACTAGGATTATAGGTATATGCCATCAAGATCTACAACAATATCTACAGCAGCAAGATATTTAGATATCATATTTTTTCTTCTTGCGCTTTCTTTCTTTTTTGGGGGGGCCAAGGATTGAACTCAGGCATGCTTCCCACTGATCACATCCTCAGACATTTTTTTATTTTTTATTTTGATACAAAATCTCAATAAATTGTTTAGGGCCTTGCTAAGTTGCTGAGACTGAACTTGGGATCCTCCTGCCTTAGCCTCCCAAGCTGCCAAGACTCTAGGTATGTGCCATGGCACCTGACTTTTCTTCTTGCGCTTAAGAACAGTGCCATTTAGGAGTTCCTTAAGGCATTTGGACATACTGTTTTATTTGACTTGCAGATTTATTGTCACTAGTTTTTAAAATTTTATTTATTGTACTATTTATATTTTTAGTTATGTGTAATTAAATTATAATCTAAGGGGTTTCTGTATTCTCAAGACCCATACTTACAGACACATATTACTGTTATCCTGTATCATTCTGACATATAGGTTCTGGTGATGTTAAATTTTAACTCACAAAAGGGTTTTTGGTTGGTTTTGTTTTTGTTTTGAGACAGGGTCTCGCTAAGTTGCTAAGCCTGGCTTTGAATCTGCAATCCTCCTGCCTCAGCCTCCCAAGCCACTTGGATTATAGGCATGCACCACCATGCCTGGCCACAAAAGCCTTTTATTTTTGAAAGATTCTCCTTTTGTTTTTTGGAATCTTTTAGTTAAATTAATGATTTCATTAGACAAGTAGAATATAATTCCTTGTTTTAGACTGGCTTGTTTATATTACAAACTTGAAGCATTCTTAGTGAGAGAAAATTCTGTATGAGATATATTATGCCCCATGCTTAAATATGTTCAATAGAAGTTGCAGAATTATGTATTTTGAACTGAGACTTCTATAGGACTTATACCTAGTTCTGTTGACAATATTTCAAACTCCATAGCTAAAACTGAAGAGAGCTCTTTCAATAACTCTACCCTGGGACATCAGAACTTTATACTACATTTGGCTATGAACATCCAGAATTCAGATTTTTTAATAAGGTTGTTTAGCAACCTAAGTCTAAGATATTTCTGAATGTGTCTGATCTCAAATCACAAGAACCTGATTTTGTTTAACATAGATTTAATTAGACAGTCCTAAAGATATAGATTATAGTATTTGTTGTTGTTGTTTGCAGTACTGCAGATTGAACCCAGGGACACTTTACCACTGTGCTACATCCTTTGCCTTTTTACTTTTTATTTTGGGATAGAATCTTACTAAATTGCTGAGGCTGGCCTTGAACTGCAATCCTCCTGCCTCAGCTTCCTGAGTAACTGGGAATACAAATAGGATTACAAGTGCCCAGCAGGATAGAGATTGTTTTTGAAGATTAATATTTAACTCTGACTAAAATTTGAGCAAAAAACTAATTGTGGCCAAGACATATGCTGTAAATAAACCTCAATGGTGCCTAACATTTGCTTTTCTTTTATAGGGAGCATGAAGAACTACTGAAACAAATGAAAGAAACTGAAAGCCATTCAGTCTGTGATGACATAGAATGTGAACTAGAGCATTTAGTAAAGAAAATGGAAATTAAAGGAGAACAAATTTCCAAACTGAGGAAGCATCAAGACAATGTAAGAAGACTTTAGTAAACATTTTTGATAAAAATATAATATATCTAGAATCAGTGTTTCATCTCTGTATGATCTTCCAAACTTGATGTCTGTATGTATGTATGCTTGTGAAAAGACTTGAGTCTTAGTCCTGTTATCATATAGAGCCATCTGCCCTGTTAAAATCACATGGGCCTCCAACATAACTCCCAAAAAATAATTTTAAAAAAGGAGCAAGAAAGTTTAGTTATATGCTTAAGCTTTTGGAAATTTATGGGCTAAGCTGGGCGTGGTTATACATACCTGTAATCTTAGGACAGGGGAGGTTGAGCAGGAGGATCGCAAGTTTGATACCAGCTTCGGCAGTTTAGCAAGATCCTGTCTCAAAAAGTAAAAAGGTATGGAGATAAACTGTAACTCAGTGGTATAGCACCTCAAATTCAGTCTCCCAATACCACCAAAAATAAAAATAAAAAAAAATTGTGAGCTAGGCTATTGCCTTAGCAGCCTTTCTGTTACCCTTTTAGCGTTCTTTTCCCTGGTCTCTCTCTTCTAATTCCTTAATGATGACCCTTCTGTCTACAGATCTTTAAGACAGTACCATATGTAAGCCTAGCTCCTCAAGCAGTACCCCAATCCTAAAATCCCAGTTTTTCCCTTTCTCTAAACAAGCTGTTCTGTATTCTATTCCCTGAGAACCTGTGCTTAGCTAGCTATAGTTAGAATGGCAAGGGTATTAAGCATAACTCTGTACTTGTGTGTGAAGTCTTAATAAGAATGGTGTAACTGTTTTAATATCTTAACAGAAGAATTACAGATATAATGTTTTATCTCAAAACAATGACTCTATAGTAGAACTTTTGATACCATTATTCTGCTGGAGCAGAAGGCAGAGGGAAGGGCTGGGGATATAGCTCAGTTGGTAGAGTGCTTGTCTCACATGCACAAGGCCCTTGGTTTGATCCCCAGCAACAACAACGACAACAACACACACACACACACACACACACACACACAGAAGGCAGAGGAAGTCTTTCCAGGAAACTACATGTTACATCACATAACTATCTCCTTATAAATATAATCATTATTCATATAAATTAATGATGTGTTAACCTCACAAACACCCCCGTCACTTTTATAGGACAGTAATAAAAGATTCAGAATATTATGCTTTTATTCTGCTTATGACCAAGAGAGAAAGAAATGAAACCTTGGAGGTGGATACTTTTATTTTACTGACTTTTTAGGCATATAGTAAATAAAAATGTTTATATACTTGTTTTGGGATGAAAGGTATATTGATTGTATACTTTCTTGACTTGCATAGGAGAAACTTGATGAGAATAATAACAACAATTTATTTTTTATTTTTTATTTATTTTATTTATTTTTTAGTTTTAGGTGGACACAATATCTTTATTTTACATTATGTGGTGCTGAGGATCGCACCCAGCGCTTCATGCATGCTAGGCAAGCACTCTACCACTGAGCCACAATCCCAGCCCCAGAGAATAATAACAATTTAGAACTTAGGCAGTCTATAATGTTTTTTTTCCCCAGTGCTGGGGATCAACCCCAGGCCTTGCACTTGCTGGGCAAGCAGTCTGCCACTGAGCTATGTCCCCAGCCTGTACCATATTTATTTTGGAAATTTTGAGTTATATTCCATAATAGCTATAGCAGTAAATATTTTCAAGCATCTTATCTTGGTAAATTTAATCTGTAGTAAAAAATACCTTCTTGGCAAGTAGACGACAAGGTATTTGCCAATGCCTGAATTAGCTCTATAGATTATACCTATGCATAAGTGAAATGGCTAAGTAACGGTTTGGATTTGGAAGAAATGTGTTATGGTTGTTTGATAGGTATTATTTAATTCTGTCTATCCTGGGTTGGTGTTTTTGTGTTTTCTTTGGTTTTTGTTTTTTGTTGTGTTTTTTTTCCTATTTTTGTTTTTGTTTTGTGGTACTGGGGATTGAACCCAGGTGTGCTCTAACCATTGAGCTACATCCCCAGTCCTTTTCATTTTATTATTTTGAAACAGGGTCTCACTAAGTTACCTAATTTGGTTCGAATTTACAATCTTCCTGCCTCAGTGTCCTAGGTAACTGGGATTATGTGTGTGTGTGCCACTATGCCTGGCTCTATGTACTCCATTATGAATTGATAGTCATTAAGGGCATAATGTTATTCCCTTGACCTTTTTTTCTCTGGCATATATCAGTATTTTAAATTCAGAAATAAATTGTGTGTGTGTGTGTGCGCATGTGTATTTGTGTGTATGTGTGTGTGTATACACTACTCTATACACTCAGTTTATCGCACCAATTCTTTGCTTTGCTGTTAATTATCACCTGAAAAGTACTTCCTTCTGTACTTTCTGTACTCTGTTCTAGTTTTTGCCAGTTTTACATCTTCCCTACAACCTTTCCCTCAACTGCTGCATCCCACATTTATCTTGTCTTACTTTGACCTTCTCAAATATAGACTTTTTATTTTACTCAAAGTAATCTTGGCTTGAGGTATTCCATGGTTATCATACATATGTTTTTCTTTCATTCATTATAGCAAGGACTGTTTTATTCATTTAGTGTTAGGCATATAATAACTGTTCAAAATATAAAATTTACTGATTTGAATTTTTTAATGTAATCTTTATACCATCAATCCAATCCATCTATTTTGTGATCCATCTATTTTGACTAAAAATATATTTAGTCAAATATATTTTTGACTAAAATGCTAGATATTTTTTCTCTCCAGGTTTATAAACTGCAACAAAAAGTTCAAAACTCAAAGATGTTGAGCAACACTTCAGTTATTCAACGAGAAGATAGCAACCTTAAAGGATCAAAGAACATTAAAAATAGCCCCAGAAAATGTTTGAATGAAACTAACCCTTTTCGGAAAAACAACAATTTTCATCCAGTACAAGTTCATAATCTTCAAATGAAATTAAGAAGAGATGATATCATGTGGGAACAGTAACACAGTAGCAAAACTGTCACCTAAAATGAACTTTGTCAGTAAGATCTTGAATTGTCTAAAGTGTTTTTAATTTAAAATAACTGTGAAATTTTGAATTATGTTTCTGATCTCTATAAAACACAAAGTTGTTGTATACTTTAAAATTAATGCCTAATGACCTAGTAAGAATCCCAAATAATAAGTGATTGCCCTTTTCTTTCTTATTTTCCAAAGTCCCTAACCTAATCATGCCTTAAGAATATTGTTCAGTTTGCAGATATCTTTAGCTGAATCTAAAAATGTGTACCAGATATTCAAAACTGAGTTAAATCTGAGATATAAGTATGTTCTACTTCTTTACTTACTGCTCTTATGACCTTATAAACCAATGTTAAATGCAGAGGATTCAGTGAAGGTCTCTTAAGTTTCTTGATGGTGCCTCCCTAAAATGTTTTACAGCTGTAAAATATTTTTTTTCTTGGAAAGGGAAAAGCTTAATAGTTACAGTTTTGTGAAGAAGACTTTAACCCAAGTTTTATGTGATGATTATAAATAAGAACTCATAGTTTTTTTTTTTTTGTTTTGTTTTTGTTTTGTTTTTTAAAGAGAGAGTGAGAGAGAGAGAATTTTTTAATGTTTTTTTATTTTTTTTTTTAGTTTTCGGCGGACACAATATCTTTGTTTCTATGTGGTGCTGAGGATCGAACCCGGGCCTCACACATGCCAGGCGAGCGTGCTACCGCTTGAGCCACAACCCCAGCCCCTCATAGTTTCTTAATTTGTAGAAGATGGAAACTCAGCTAATGCTATTCCTCTTCTCTTTTTTTACAAATCTGGTTTTTTTCAATACCAGTGATCAATTTTGTCTTAACTTTTGTTATAATTTTTCTTTTCATTGTATATAATAGTCACCAATGTTAATTAAGAATATGAATTTCTAGAACCCCTGAAAAGTGGTATATTTTTATTAAAAAGAAGAGGAAGTTAGTCATTTAATTACCTCATTCTGAAAAAAAAAGAAATATGTTTTTATTTTTATATTTTAAAATCAGTGATGTCACAGTAGATTTTCTTGTATATGCGTGCGTTATAATAAACTTACACTTGTTTACCTATCTTTCCAGAAACCTATAGAAACTAGTACAATTCTGAACTCTTGGCTTCTCACTCAACTCTTCTGGGGCAGCTAGAGCACTGGAGTCATCAGCTGTGGTAGAAGTAGACGATAGACAGGAAAGCTGTGCTGAAAGGCAGAATTCTGCTTAGAGCATAGGGTAACCATTTTTAAGAGATATTGATTCCAGAGGGACAGAATTGGAGGAGTATGCTTACCAATTTCCCTGAATTCGCAGCAAAGGTGGGAGACTGTTCAGACTACAAATGTGAAAGAATTTTTAGGTCAGGATCCCAGGGAGATAAGAAAAGCAATGTTTAAAAGACAGTCTTTCTCTTTTCCTAGGAAATCCCAAAAAAGTCTGTGTAGGGAAAGTGTGTAACTGTGAACCTTCCAAGGAAGAGAACCAATATTCCTTGTAATCATGAGGAAAAAAATGCCATGTTAGAAAGACTTTTTCATACCTAGAAGTGGGGAGGTATCTGAAAATAGGTAGATTGATAACTTGAAATTATACTTGAAAGTAATTAATGGCAGAGATCAAGGTTTCTCTCCCTTTGGTTTAAATTGTGTATGTGCCCCTGACTTGCTTTACTCCACCTCCCCCGGCAGCTCCTCAGCCCTGGAGATGTTTCACAGGGTGTCCAACTAAACTTCTAAACTCCGTTTTATCACCTCACTCATTTTTCTGCCTTACCTTTCCTCCTCCAGGATGTGAGTTCTTTAATTTAAACTTTCAGGAAGTAGAAATCCACACCATCATATTATGGCCCTTTATTTCTGTGCCTTTGTTTCCTCTGAAATATAGTTTATCAGTAAAGCCATTCCTTATGAAAATGTATTGCTAAAACATTACCATAAAAATTTAAAAGTCATTTTATAAAGAACTTGAATATTTCAACTAAAAATTGAAAATTTTCTCATAAAATTAATATAGTAGAAAAAATGACTTCAGAGTTAAGAGACAGGTTCAGATTATGACTGCACTGTTTTAGTTATTTGCAGAGGTCAAATAACTTCCTAGAACTTCAGGTTTTCATCTATAAAGTAGGAGTTAAACTACTTCACAGGGTTGTTGTGAGGAGTAAACAAAATAACTCATAAAAGCACCAGCAGAAGAGTTTGTCTTTAGTAATACTTATCAATAAGTGTTTTTTGAATCTGGCAAAAAGAAAAAAGAAAAGAAGAAGTTGTAGAACACAAGCTTGTATGGGTTAAAGTCTAAAAGCAAAAGTGGGAATGTTCCAGTTCATTTATTTATTTTCTTTGTTTCTGTATGCCTAGAGGGAAATCAGTTTGGCTTGTTTCCTGTGCCAGATTTCTAAAGGGAGGAGTAAAGAATCCAGTCCTACCATGGTGCAGCAGTACATAATCACACATAGTAACTTGGTGTGGGGTTTGTTTTGGTTATTGAAATGACAATTATTCCTAGGAAACAGGAAAGAATGGTTTCTTATTGCTCCACAGCCACTAAACTAAAAGCCTATCTTTGCTCACAGACCCTCTGCTTGCAGGGTGGCTGACTTTTTAGAGGGTGGAGCAAAAGATTTTTTTTTCCTGCTTGGGGCATTCTATGGTCAGTGTACAAGGGTTGCTGTAGCAACCCCACAGCTGTGCTCTACTTAGCAGAACCGTGGTATGTTTTCATTGATTTTGTTCACTTAAGTGAAAAACAGAGTTGTTTGTTTTCTGTTTAATTAGAAATTGAAAAAAATGGAATTTGAACTTTCTAGCCAAGGCAGGTCTCAACTTTGATAAAACTGTGACACCAGACGTTCCACTGTTTGAAGCATCAGGTATTGTGAATATTCTGATACTGGAAATGGGAATTAAAATCTGGAATTAACTGTACACAGGTGGGTCATTGGCAACCCAGCTATTTTTATCAGATTGCAACTAGAAAAAGGAGTGTTGGAGGAAGTGCTCAGTTTTCAACAATGTAAGATCAAAATAAGTATATGGACTATACTTGAAAATTAGTTTTGCAATGTTGTGGTAATTTTCTTACTTTAAATGTATAATTTCAACTATAAATAGTATTCTTAATCCATGATAAAATATCAACAAATTGCTTGGTGCAGTGGTGCACGCCTGTAATCCCAGCAATTTGGGAGGCTGAAGCAAGAGATTTACAAGTTCAAAGCCAGCCTCAGCAACTTAGTGAGACTCATCTCAAAATAATAAAAAAGGTAGGGGATGTAGCTCGGTGGTTAAGCACCCTTGAGTTAAAAAGAATCAACAAAAAATTGATTTTTAAGTGTTATAAAAAATCAATCTAAGGAGGAAAAGGCTGACTGGTCACACAAAATGGTAGGAGTGTGTATCATGACCAGAAATGTACCAGCTGCCATTACTTGTGTAGTAGTGAAACTCCTAATGGGACTTCCTGGGACTCTAATCAGCTATCACTAAAGCTGAGCTGCTGAAAGCATTTCATTGTATGTGAAGTTTAGATAAGTACAAGCTAACTTCCAAACATACACAAGATAAACCTGTCTAAGACATGATGCATTTGCACCCTTTCATTAAAGTGAGGTAAGGATACATAATAATATTGACTTGTTCATCTGAAAACAGATTTCCTTCTTGGTAATTAAAGAGAACTCATCATTCCCTCAGCCTTTTTCTTTATATCTACTTATTTCAGTGAAACTTTCCTCTTTTCAGTTCTCTTTTTGTATTTTATCATGTAAAGAGAATTAGACAGAAAAATTATAATGTTAAAGCTTTAAAATAACATCTGTGCCAGAGATTGATTGTTTACAGTAATGGGGATTGAACTCGGGACCTTGTGTGTGCTAGGCGAGCACTTTTATGAGTGAGCTACACCCCCAGCTCTTTTTGTTTCTTGTTTTGAGACAGGGTCTCACTAAGGTTGTTACGCTGACCTTGAACTTGCAATTCTTTTGCTTCGGCCTTCCAAGTAGTTGGGGTTATAGGCATGCACTACTGTGCTCAGCCAGTTTGTTTGTTTTTATAGCTGTAGTTTAATTTGTTTCCTTAAAGATTTGGTGGGATTTTTTTTCCCCCGGATAGGTTGGAAGTATTCTCCTCATTGAGATAGACTCATCAAATTCCCATTTGGCACAGAATCCTACTAAATGTCATAGTCAGTCAGAATTATAAGAAAGCACCCTGCCTCTAAAGAAATTTATTTTTTATTATATGTACATAGTCCAGTGTGTAATATGTTGAACAATTTTAGCACAAAATAGTAGTTGCACTGAGGCAACTGACAGTATAAAACTTATTAATGATCAGTTAAACAGTCTGATTACAGATTGGGTCCAGGGGTTGGGGGTCAAGGATAACATTATGAATTATCTGTCAAAGGATAGATAAAAAGTTCTATGAATGATAAAATGCGCTTTCTATAAAAATCTTTTAAATAACAATAGAGTCCTTAACCATATTCTGCCTAGATTTTTCCTCTTTTGACTTTGTTTGTATTGGTTTTTCCTCGTTCTTTAGGTCTTAGTTCACCTCTAAGAAGCCCTCGTTAGCCTCCCCTTCCTCCTACCTCTGAGTTGGCTATGTCTTCCAGATATTTCCCTTCTCTTTTACTTAACACACTTTCTTTTTGTTTGTGTGAGTGTGGGGTCACCATTGTAGATAAAGTACCCTGCCAACACAGTACTTGGTCCAAAAGTAGCTTCTCAATGAATATTTATTTGAGAGTTACGTTTGTTAAATAAAAATTAAGAGTTGGGGATGTAACTTAGTGATTGTGTGCTTGCCTGGGTTCAGTCCCCAATACTGCAAAAATTATATGAGCCTGCTTCTTTGGACAAAGTTCCTTCACTGAGTCCAAGCAGACCACACTAAATAGCAAACTGGAGTTACTTATACTAAAGTTCTCAAACCAAAACTGAATTGTTAATCTGATCTTCCATGAAATCAGAAGAGACAAAATAGACAAATTTTCTAAATAGACCAGTTTTAATCAGCATTTAATGAAGTTCCCTCTATTTTGATCCTTAACAAAAAGAAAAATAAGTAAAATTTATCTGAATTAACCTACCAGTTGTTTTGTTTTTGTTTGTTTATTTGTTTTGTTTTGTTTTGTTTGATACTAGGGATGGAACCCAGGACACTTTACCACTGAGCTACATCCCCAGCTCTTCTTATTTTTTATTTTGAGGCAGGGAATCATTAAGTTGCTTAGGGCCTTGCACTGCAGCTAGCCTTGAACTTGAGATCCTTCTGCCTTAGCTTCCACTGGGATTATAGGTATACTCTATTGTCTCAGGCTACCAGTTATCCCAAAATGACAATTCACTCTCAGTTCTTTTGTTTCTACTTTATTCAGCCCTTTTCTGACTATAAAACCAATCTTGTCTGCTCAATTCATTGGAGCACTTTTTCTGTTTTATAGAGTGAAATGTTGCCTGATTTAAGAATCACTAAGTTAGTTAAGATCTTCAGATTTGTTGTAATTTGCCTTTTGATACATCTCACGAAAATATATTACCCATATTTATGGTCTTATCCAGACATTCAACTGGGTATTGCTGTTTCAGGCTCCAGTTCAGCCCTTCTGTTTCCCCTTTCAAAAATATGTGACCCTATTTTACGTAACCACTACTTGAGTAGCCCAATGTTGTTTGTTTGAGACAGGGTAGAGAGGCTTTCACAAGGCTCTCCAGGCACTTAGAATCATGTTTTTTTGTTTTTTTGTTTTTTTGTTTTTTTTTTTTTTTTTGATACAGTGATGTGACTGTATCAAACTAAAGAGCCCTTGGTGCTCAAAGTTCTTGTAAGGAAGAGCTTTGAGCACCAAGGGCTCTTTAGTTAGATTTGATAGGAATAATCACATAATAATCTTAAGGTTCTGTGCTACATAATCATAATCTTAAAGTTCTATGCTAGATGCTGTGAGAGATTCTAAGACAAACCAGGCAGTGCTTCTGTCTTCAAGCTACTTATAGTCTGATAGGGGAGCTAAGACATGTATGTAAATATAATAAAAGGAAAAAAAACAGGTAACATGAAAGTATTAGTGATCACCACAAAACAGATCCTCAATAAATATTTATTTGCCCACTAAATGTTTGTTCTCATCTAATTATAAAGTGCTTTGAGAATTGGCCCATTTGTAATTTTTTCATTCTGTGTCATGATTTTTTTATGTAGCTTTCACCTGCTTTTTTGCCTGGTGGCAATATTGATCTAGGCAGTATTGATCTCACTCTTCATTGGGCTTGTTGACAGCTCATTTAGTTAACTTCAAGCATTTGCTGTCTAAACCCAATCCATAAGCAGTCTCATTTTCAAAGACATAAATGGGTATGAGACATTGAGGGAAGTGAGAAGTGAGGGGCAGGAATTAGGCAGTAATGACTTAGACTGAAGCAGAAAAATAATATGTGCACAGAATTATTGCAAATGATTTTACTACTCACTTTTCTTCAAGAACTTAAGTCGTTCATTTTCTTCATATTTCCGCTTCCTCATTGGTTGGATCAATCAGTGTTTTCCAAAGTACAAAACATGCCTTGTTGGTGAATTATAACAATTTAGTGGCCACCTCTACCATTTTTAAAAGATGTAGAATAGCATTGGAAATATCACAATGCATCACAGATAGTGAAGATAATATTTTTTGAAACTTTGTAAATATTGGATTATAATTTTATTTATTTTTGTTTTTATGTCGTGCTGGAAATTAAATCCTGGACCTGTTCAAGCTAATAAACACATACTCCACCACTGAGCAACCCAGCCTTCAACTTTTTTTTTTTTTTTTTTGGTACTTGGGATTGAAACCAGGGGTGCTTAACCACTGAGCCACATTCCCAGACTTTTTATTATTATTATTATTTTTTATTTTGAGATACCTTCTTGTTAAGTCGATTCAGGTCTCACTAAGTTGCCGAGGCTGGGCTTGAACTTGCAATCCTGTTGCCTCAGCCTCCTGAGCTGCTGGGATTACAGGTGTGTGCCTTCATGCCCAGCCCTATATTATAATTTTATATGTAATCCTAAATGATGTTAGAGGAAGAAAAGTATGACTCTTTTTTTAAAAATTATTTTTAAGTTATAGGTGGACACAATATCTTTATTTTTATGTAGTGCTGAGGATTTTTATGATGAGTGCCTCATGCATACTAGGCGAGCATGCTAGGTGAGTTCTCTACCTCTGAGCCACAACCCCAGCCCAAGTTTGGCTCTTTGTAATTACATCATAAACAAAACTACTTTGTTTTGAGAATGAGTTTGAAAAATGTTGTGAAGAAAAGTGGGATAGCCAGTCAAAAATAGGAATATTTCCAAATTCCCTCCTATGGCTTGTGGCAATCTACTGGTTATTCCAGAAATACTATTATGAATCTTTTTTTTATATGTTTTACAAATACAAATCTCATTTAAATCAATGCCATTATATTTTCTGGTCTATAGAATTTGCATTTCATGTACTAGCTGACTTAGATGAGAGAAATTGCTTTTCTAATATAGGCAAATATATTCAACCTGAATCCCTGAACAAATGACCTTATTATTCTGCCTCTGTGTAGAATCTAACCAAGCATTAGACTATGGTTAGGACAGAAATTTGTTCTGCAGGTGCTTAGACAGTTTTATAGTTCATACAGATGTGAGACTTGTTACAGAAAAACTATTTGTAGGTATCCAGTCTGTAATAAGCAAAGAGCTATCATTTGACAGACTATACTTGTCTAAACATCAAAAGCAGCACCATCAAAATTAAAAACTTGATAATATCAATGTAGCCCTCTTTAAAAACATGTCACTCACTGAGCAAACAGCTTGATAGGATATTTTTTAAATGAGTAGA